GATATATGCCGCTCCTTTCGTCCGCAGGCGTAGTCTGCCAATCCAGTTCGAGAAAGTGTATTATTTGTATGAGAAAGTCTATAAAAATAGTATTGTACAAAAATAATTGTAAATCTTGTGAAAATGCGGGTGCCCGATATAAGAAAATCTGCTTAACAGAATCTGATATTAAAAAGAGGGAAAAAGTTTCTATTCGTAAAGTAAGTGTTCCCGAATTAGAAAAATATCATTCCTCAAAAATGGAGGCTGTTCGGTGAACAAAAATATTGGCTGATAATAGGAAAGGTAGGGTGAGTGGTTAACGATTCGTTAAGAAAATTGGGGCGCAGTATAACAATCAGTCCTCAAGAATGGAGGCTGTTCGGTGTAAAAAAATAGTGGCTGATAATAAGAAATGGTAGGGTTAGCGGTTTAAGATGAGTCCCCTAACGAAACTATTAGGGGCATCGAGTGGAATAGACGTTGGCCTGCAGATAATTTTGAAAATGCTAGAGGTCCGTCATCATCCCTCCTATCCCTCCTGCGTTGGCTGTCATTATCTGAAAACAAGAGAGTGGACAGTGAGTACATTGACAAAGTTGGTTAATGTTTAAATAGTAATATGTAAGGTTTGCTCACCGGCCGGCTGGGTGTTGGCCACTGTCCGTAGCAGCCTTTTCTTCCTTCAGTCGGAGGCCCGCTTCAGGGCTCTCACAAAGGCACTGTGTCTTTCGTCCGCGTTAGCATTGTTGGCAACGCACCACAGTTCAAAGGCCTCTGTGGAGATCATTGTTATAGATGTGATCTTAGCTTACCGAATACGATTCGAAATAAGGATGATTTATCGAAGGCGCGTTTGTGTTCACTGCGCCCAGTGAATGTCACAAAGGCCGTGATGTTATCGTCAAACAGGGTCCTTATAACCCTGTCGGCATACGCGTGGGCATTGGCCCCTCGGAGCCTGGCCAGGAAGGTAACCTAGTAATAGATGTTATATGTAACGCTTCCTTAAAGTGAGTTGCCTTCGTTCATTGTCGGTTAACTCTTCCTCGACGCGATCCATATCTTGGAGCGTATGCATTTTGTAGGAACGGGGGCTCCATGCTCGAGGTGCCAACGAAAGTGCTGGCACCGGGCGTCGGGAACAGAATCTGATTTTGGAGAAAGGTTTAGATTGCCAGAAACCTGCGGTTGGCCTGTTGTGTCCAACGAATCATATATCTACAACTCTACAATGTATTTTCGGATTCCAACTCTACAGTGTAGAGTCCTGTTTTTCAGGCGAACAGGGGGTACCCTATGCCTCACCAAAACCCCCTTTTCGAAACTTGGTAGAATAGTACCTATTTGAAGACGTTTAAATGTTTGAAAAATTTATTACTTAGGAAAATAAGGTAAAAAACGTATATAACAGTGTAAAAAAGTAAGCTGTTTGTAA